TTGTTTATAATATATATCAATGATGTTGATGAGGGAATTACTAGTGATATGAGCAAATTCGTCGATGACACGAAGATAGGTAGGATAATTGATTCAAACGTAGATGTTAGGGAACTTCAGGAGGATTTAGAAAACTCTACTTTTGGGTCAAAAAAGTGGCAGAGCATTTCATGTAGATAAATGCAGGTTCTGAAGCTAGGGAGTGTCCAACCCTAGCCACTTATAAGTTAAATAATGTAGAAAAACTTAGCCATACAGATTCGAAAAGGACTTGGGGGTTATTGGTAACGCAACCTTAAACCAAGACAGCAAAGCCAAAGGTACGAATAAGGCAAATAGATTACTGGGATTTATATCAAGAAGTGTAAGCAACATAAGTCCAGAGGTCATACTGCAGCTTTAATACATCATTAGCAAGGCCTCACCTAGATATCAGCTCAATTCTGGTCTCATATTACAGAATGGACATAAATCGTTAGAAAACATTCAGCGTAGGATGACTAAATTAATACTTACATTAAAAATCTTCCTATGAAAAGATTGAAGACTCCTTAATTACATTCTTGTTAAGACGAAGAATGAGGGAGCCTAAATCGAAGTGTATAAGTGGAAGATGGGTATAATAAAGGGGATATTAACAAGGTCTTGAGGAAATCTCCCAAAGGAACCCGCAGTAATGGATTTAAAAATTAGATAAGTTTAGTTTTAGGAAAGGACATGGGAAAAGTATTGTTTTGGAAATAGGGTAGTTGATGAGTGGAACAGTCTTCCTAGTTGGGTTATTGAGGCTAGGACTTTGGGTAGTTTCAAATTTAAGTTGGATAAGTACATGAGTGGGAGGGGTTGGATTTGAGTGGGACTTGCACATCAGAGCTTATTTCTTGGGTAGCATTGAAAATTGGGTTGGTCACATGTTTGTTAGTGGGATGAATTGTGAAGGACCTGCCTAGTATGGGCCAACAGGCCTCCTGCAGTGTTTCTCCTTTCTTATGTTCTTATGTTCTAGATGAATTGTAAAGGACCTGCCAAGTATGGGCCAACAGGCCTCCTGCAGTGTTCCTCCTTTCTTATGTTCTTATACAACAGTGTGTAGCTAGACCAGTGTTTGTGGGGGAGAACAAGTATGGTGATACAACAGTGTGTAGCTAGACACTGTGTTTGTGGGGGAGAACAAGTATGGTGATACAACAGTATGTAGCTAGACACTGTGTTTGTGGGGGAGGACAAGTATGGTGATACAACAGTGTGTAGCTAGACACTGTGTTTGTGGGGGAGGACAAGTATGGTGATACAACAGTGTGTAGCTAGACACTGTGTTTGTGGGGGGGGAACAATTTATGGTGATACAACAGTGTGTAGCTAGACACTGTGTTGGGGGGAGGACAAGTATGGTGATAAAACCCAGTATGTATCTAGACACTTGTTTGGTGGGGGGAGGACAAGTATGGTGATACAACAGTATGTAGCTAGACACTGTGTTGTGGGGGGGGGGACAAGTATGGTGATACAACAGTATGTAGCTAGACACTGTGTTGTGGGGGAGGAGAAGTATGGTGATACAACAGTATGTAGCTAGACACTGTGTTTGTGGGGGAGAACAAGTATGGTGATACAACAGTATGTAGCTAGACACTGTGTTGTGGGGGAGAACAAGTATGGTGATACAACAGTATGTAGCTAGACACTGTGTTTGTGGGGGAGGACAAGTATGGTGATACAACAGTATGTAGCTAGACACTGTGTTTGTGGGGGAGGACAAGTATGGTGAAAAACAACAGTTGTAGCTAGACACTGTGTTTGTGGGGGAGGACAAGTATGGTGATACAACAGTATGTAGCTAGACACTGGTTTGTGGGGGAAGGACAATTATGGTGTTTACAACAGTATGTAGCTAGACACTGTGTTTGTGGGGGAGGACAAGTATGGTGATACAACAGTATGTAGCTAGACACTGTGTTTGTGGGGGAGGACAAGTATGGTGATACAACAGTATGTAGCTAGACACTGTGTTTGTGGGGGAGGACAAGTATGGTGATACACAGTATGTAGCTAGAAAACTGTGTTTGTGGGGGGACAAGTATGGTGATACAACAGTATGTAGCTAGACACTGTGTTTGTGGGGGAGGACAAGTATGGTGATACAACAGTATGTAGCTAGACACTGTGTTTGTGGGGGAGGACAAGTATGGTGATACAACAGTATGTAGCTAGACACTGTGTTGTGGGGGAGGACAAGTATGGTGATACAACAGTATGTAGCTAGACACTGTTGTGGGGGAGGAGAAGTATGGTGATACAACAGTATGTACTGAAAAACTGTGTTGTGGGGGAGAAAAAGTATGGTGATACAAAAAGTATGTAGCTAGACACTGTGTTGTGGGGGAGAACAAGTATGGTGATACAACAGTATGTAGCTAGACACTGTGTTGTGGGGGAGGACAAGTATGGTGATACAACAGTATGTAGCTAGACACTGTGTTGTGGGGGAGAACAAGTATGGTGATACAACAGTATGTAGCTAGACACTTATGCATAGCTCAAGATATTTACTGAAAGACACGTAAGCAAACACTATGTTATAGTGTTTGCTTACGTGTCTTTCTAAACCAACTTGTCGGTATTTATTACCAAGGTTTATACCAGGAAACATGATAAATGTTTCCTGACGTGGGTCTTAAATGATGACCCGCCGTTGGAGCTTTTGGTCATCTAACGGAGACCCTCCGCTGGCTTACCGGTCTACCCCTTTATAAATTATGGTCATACTTATAACCAGAAAACAGTTACTGAAGACAGGTTTTATCACGAGCGGCTTCTTCATTTAGAACTAAAGTAAACACTAGCATCGAAATGTTTCCTCAAGAGATATCTTTAGTTGTATATAAGTGTTTGTATCTACATCTGCCTTTTATCAGGATATATTTACCCCAAAATGGAAGTAGAGTAGCAGGATCGTGGCTCAGTATCTACTATATATTGTAAATGCTTTGAAACCAGTCAAAACTTATTTCAGAAATTCCCAAAATCAAAAAAGATTTCAAAATTCATCCCATCTATCAAATAAAAAAAATATTGCAGAATCATCAGAGGTAACCAGAACTGTGATTGAAATTAGTGATCATTTTCCTCGAGAAGAATTCCATTCAACTATGATGAAAATGGTATGTTGAATAATATTTTATATTGATAAGTAAGACACGTGTGCAGAAGTTACATATCTTTATTCTGAAACGTTTCGCCTACACAGTAGGCTTCTTCACTCGAATGCAGAGGCAACATAAACAGTAGAGACGTGAAGACGATGTAATCGTCCCTCAGCTAAGGGATTGACCACCTCTAAACTACGTCTTCCAGGGTGATGGAGTGATTACATCGTCTTCACATCTCTACTGTTTCTGTTGCCTCTGTATTCGACCGAAGAAGACTACTGTGTAGCAGAAATTATTTGTAATAAAGATAACCTCACTGTTGTACATGTGTTTTACTTATCAACTTATCAGTATTGTATACCACTATATTCACAATATTCTATGCTACTAGTTCTTATTACATTTGTTAAACGAATTTATAAAACACATATTTTTCTATATTGGTACTTTATACAATCCAAATTGTTTACGGAAATTGGCACCTAAACTGCCTAACAACTGAAAGCTGATCAGATGATGCAGTCCCAAGTTATCGAATAGAAATCAATATCTACACTTTAGAGGAGGGCTTTGTGATATTGGCAGTTTGGAGGGACTTCTAAACTGTCGTATTTGAGCGCCTCTGCAAAGACAATGATTATTTATGAGTGATGGTCAAAGTGTTGAATGATAAACATTACAAAACTTCTTCGAAATAAGATACACCGACTTTGAAAGTTTGAAGCCGCTCAAAAGTCATTCTTAAGTTATCGCAAAAAGAAGCATATAAACATCTTAAAAGTAGTAAAAAATAATTTAGGCAACCACTGTAGGTATTCCCTTATAGGGATACCGATATATATATAAAATATATATATATATATTTTATAATATATATATATATATATATATATAAAATATATATATAACTTCTTCATCGCTATCCCCCCTAAGAACATAGAACACTGCAGAAGGGCTACTCACAACTTGTCCAATACCCCTGCCAAGCTACCCAAGACTCTATAACTCCACCCGGTAGATCATCAGATGCAGCATTCTCCACCTGACCTCAACATTCTGAACATGACTATAAATACTCGCGTACCTTCCACCCCAGGTAGATCTGTGTGTGACTTGAAAAAGCCCACTGTGTGGGTGAAACGTTGTCAATAAAGGATCACATTATACTGCATATGTGTTTATATTTCCACTGTGTCGGTATTTGATACCATTTATTTCCATATATATATATATATATATATATATATATATATATATATATATATATATATATATATATATATATATATATATATATATATATATATATATGTCGTTCCGAATAGGCAGAACTTGCGATCTTGGCTTAAATAGCAACGTTCATCTTGCCATATAGGACAAGTGAAAATTTGTGTATGCAATAATTTCGCCAAAATCATTCTGAACCTAACGATAAAAATATATTTCACTGTGCTTGTTTAGTATTAAATTACTGTAAACAAATCTAAAATATATATAGTTGGGTTAGGCTAAAATAAATCGTTCTTGTTATAATAAGGTTAGGTAAGTTTTCTAAGATTCTTTTGGTGCAAAATTAAAAAAATTTACATTAACATTAATGAAAAAATTATATCTTTAAACGTATAAGAATTTTTTTTAGAAAAGGCATAATTTTAAATGAGTTCTTGCTAATTGACCAGTTTTACATATTCGGCACGACATATATATATATATATATATATATATATATATATATATATATATATATATATATATATATATATATATATATATATAATTCGCGAACTAAATATGGAACCTGAGTTCTGGAGGTGGGAAGCAGAGTACGTGCACTCCTAAGGAGGGGCGGAGATATGTTACAGTTTCTGAACTGGAGTATCGGCACGTTTCTGGCAAGACAGTGATGGAGTGAGTGATGATGAGAGTGTTTTTTCTTTCTCGGGTCACTCTGCCTGGGTGGGAAACGACCGATGGGTTAAAAAAAATGTAATAACGTATTATAAGAATAAATACAAATTTTCTGACTAAATGTCAAACTTTAATGTGATTATTTATTCAGGCATTATGTTTCCAAACTATGAAATACATTTGTTGGTGATATATACATTTTAGATTAACGCTTTTTATTTTGGTGATTATACAGTGAGGCTGGTGAGTCAGCAGCTATTGTTGGTGTTGGTGAGTGTGTTGGTGGCGGCGTTGGTGGTGAGATTGGCCAGGGATCCTCATCCATACCCTCTCCCCAACATCATCAAGTCACCACTACACACACTCTCGTGCTTCCTCTGCCTCTCCAACTACACCAACACAGTAAGTGTATTATCTCAACCCGTAAATGTACTCCCTCAACAGGTATATGTACTCCCTCAACAGGTATATGTACTCCCTCACCAGGTAAGTGTACTCCCTCACCAGGTAAGTGTACTCCCTCACCAGGTAAGTGTACTCCCTCACCAGGTAAATGTACTCCCTCATCACGCACTTGTACACATATTTCATCACCAAGTAAATGTACTCCCTCACCAGGTAAGTGTACTCCCTCACCAGGTAAATGTACTCCCTCACCAGGTAAGTGTACTCCCTCACTAGGTAAGTGTACTCCCTCACCAGGTAAGTGTACTCCCTCACCAGGTAAATGTACTCCCTCATCACGCACTTGTACATATATTTCATCAAGTAAATGTACTCCCTCACCAGGTATATGTACTCCGTCACCAGGTAAATGTACTCCGTCACCAGGTAAGTGCACTCCCTCACCACGCACTTGTACTTCATCACCACCTAAGTGTATATCATCACAGCAGTGTGGTATAGAGGAGGATATCCAGTGCTTGCACTTCTTACTTTCAACAATAAGTGTAGGACAAAAGTCCCTTGGAAAAAGTCCCTTAGGGCGACAGCCCCATAGCAGAGGTTTTGTTTTATCCCAAAGTGCACTTTAAATGAGGAGATTTTGTCGTTGTTGGCTTCTTCTGGGGAGATGCTGTTCTAAGGAACTTTTGCTTGTACCTCCAGCATGGTGTACAAAGCTTGTTGTACCACAGTTGTTCTCAGCGCAATGGTAGACGGAGAAGAGAATGATCCCAGCTTATGAGCTCCCCTAATTATATACACTCGCGCTTAAAAACGAGGCTCTTAGGAACCAATCAAAATTATTCAACCAGTGAACCACAGTATAGCCGTGTGAAAAAAAAATCTTTAGTAGCCATATAATACACACAAGCAGTGTAGAACCATCATTAATTAATTAACGCGGGAGCTTTATGTAGATAATTAACTGGATAATGGCCTCGTGCGTGAGAGAAACATTGTTAATTAATAAAGGCTCTCTGCTCCTTCTATGTTTGGTATGTTTATCATATCGGTACTTAGTACTATCACTCTCACAACCATCCTCATACTACGGCTTCTCTACAAACAACTCACATGTATGCCAACAACTGATATTCTCCGTCTTATGGAGGTGAGAATGTACGGAAAAAAATAGTGTATTTTTAAAACACTATTATTGCATTCATACTTAGTCAAAAGGACTGTATCGATGTTCTGTAAATTTAAACTTATCTTTAATATCTGCTGATAAAAACAGTTTCCAGATAAAATGTAAAAATTACTTATGCTGTGAGGCCCACCGTTCAAGAGTTATGTATTGATGTGCTTGAGTTACAAGCAGTTACTGACATTGATTAAGACAGGTGCAACACGGGTATTTTTATTGTTGAAACGTTTCGCTTACATCAGTAGGCGTCTTCAGTCAAATACAGAGGCAGTAGGTGTAGTAGTGAAATGAAGATGATGTAATCAGTGCATGAACCTTGTAGAAACAGTATCTGAGGTGGTCAGTCCCTCAGCCTGGAGAAGAGTTCAGTTCCAGACCATGGAGCTGAATTCTTCTCCAGACTGAGGGACTGACCACCACAAACACTATTTCTCCAAAGTTGGACTGATAACATAAACATTTCATTACTACACTTGCTGCCTCTGTGTTTGACTGAAGAAACCTACTGATGTAGGCGAAACATTTCAACAATAAAAATACCCAAGTGTTGCACATGTGTCTTAATCATCAACTTGTCGGTACTTTATGCAATTTTCATCAGTTACAGACATTATAATTTATTATTATTTCGACCTCACTACTACCGTGACTAACTTACTCTCCTATAAAAACACAAATCGTCATCTCATGACTAGCAAAACAATTTAAAATCCATTATTTACATTACCAAGAGCATACATAATTAGTTCCATGTTATATACCTTGGATGAGTTCCGAGTTTTCTTTTACTTCCGGATTCCGGCCGTGTAACAGTCAGTTCAGAAAAAATGGGAAATATTCTTGCCATTTATACCCAAGTATCCTGGATATAATGTATTGTTCCAGGAAGGAGAAAGACATAGATATCAAGTTTTCTCTCAGAATTGTGGGTTAAAGCATCATTGTATTGTTTAGAAGTTGTGATTTTAAAAAGGTGGAGACCCTGAATAATGAAGCATTGTGGAAATTGTGTTGAGTTTGCTAGTAAATATGAACTTGTTGAATTTTGTAGACTGCTGGTTCTCCAGGTAAACCTTACCTTATGTAATGTCACTGTCGATTTGGTAAACCTTACCTTGTGTACTGTCACTGTCGACTTGGTAAACCTTACCTTGTGTACTGTCACTGTCGACTTGGTAAACCTTACCTTGTGTACTGTCACTGTCGACTTGGTAAACCTTACCTTATGTAATGTCACTGTCGACTTGGTAAACCTTACCTTGTGTAATGTCACTGTCGACTTGTAAACCTTACCTTGTGTACTGTCACTGTCGACTTGGTAAACCTTACCTTGTGTACTGTCACTGTCGACTTGGTAAACCTTACCTTATGTAATGTCACTGTCGACTTGGTAAACCTTACCTTGTGTAATGTCACTGTCGACTTGGTAAACCTTACCTTGTGTAATGTCACTGTCGACTTGGTAAACCTTACCTTGTGTAATGTCACTGTCGACTTGGTAAACCTTACCTTGTTAATGTCACTGTCGACTTGGTAAACCTTACCTTGTGTAATGTCACTGTCGACTTGGTAAACCTTACCTTGTGTAATGTCACTGTCGACTTGGTAAACCTTACCTTGTGTACTGTCACTGTCGACTTGGTAAACCTTACCTTGTGTACTGTCACTGTCGACTTGGTAAACCTTACCTTATGTAATGTCACTGTCGACTTGGTAAACCTTACCTTGTGTAATGTCACTGTCGACTTGGTAAACCTTACCTTGTTAATGTCACTGTCGACTTGGTAAACCTTACCTTGTGTAATGTCACTGTCGACTTGGTAAACCTTACCTTGTGTAATGTCACTGTCGACTTGGTAAACCTTACCTTGTGTAATGTCACTGTCGACTTGGTAAACCTTACCTTGTGTACTGTCACTAAGTCTTCCTGGTAAACTTCAATGTAGACTCCTTAACGGAAAATCAAGACTCAGTTTCCTGGAATGTCAAGTAAATTTGCATTATTAGATAAAGAAAATATCAACCCCTGATAAAAGATTTAATGGTTATTATATTCACAGAGAATCACTGTACAGAAACACACTCAGATTATACATATATTACAACACAGATACAATCATTTATTACAGTTGGTGAGATGCTTCTCTGGAAAAATAGACACATATGTAGTATAACGTGATCTTTTAATGACAACGTTTCGCCCATACAATGGGCTTTATCAAGTCACAAACAGATCTACCTGGGTCAAGAGTACATGATTATATATAGTGTGGAGAGTCAGGAGAAGAATTTTGTGTAGGTTGTATCTGAGACTGACCTGCAGGTCAGGTAGGTGTTTGTCACTTGATAAAGCTCATTGTGTGGACGAAACGTAGTCAATAAAGGATCACATTATTCGTACTTCGTGTTGGTATTTATATCTTTTATCTTCATGCTTCTCTGTAGAAGCATTGCATTATGATCACTGACCCATCCTAGGCAGGTCCTTCTTAAATTTAACCTTATCAACATTGTATTTGTCCGACTAATTTTTTAAGCTACCCACATTTTTTTTAACCCACTGAGGTTAACTTGTATTATGAGTTTATAACATTATATTGTAGGCGCAGTGCATTATGCCTGCTGGCCCATGATAGAAGGGTCCTTCTAAAATATAACTATGTTAACTTTGTATATGTTAAACTATTTCAACAATTAGCCACGATTTTAGATTCATAGACTCTCATCTAGGTTAGCTGCACTTAGCTTGTCACCTGACTTGTCACCCCTGTACGAGGTGCCTTGCTGATTGAGATACATGTGCAACAACTGGGTAGGTTTATTGTTGAGATGTTTCGCCTACACAGTAGGCTTCTTCAGTCAAATACAGAGCCAGCTTCAAGAAGCCTACTGTGTAGGCGAAACGTTTCAATAATAAAGATACTAAACTGTTGCATATGTGTCTTAATCATCAAGTTGTTAGTGTTTTATACCATTTTCAATATGTTTATGAGGATTCCAGGTGGGAGTAGAAATGCACTCTCATGACACTTGTTGACAGTATTGTGTGTCTCTACAGAACGAGGGGAGTGGAAAGCAAACTCTGCAGAAGAGCGGGGAGAAGGGTGAGGAGGTGGAATTGGGTGAAGGCAGCAGCAGCGGGGGAGAGAGGAGAGGTCTGGATGATAGCCACACTCATCAGTGGATGCTGCTGGCTGCTGTCCTCGACCGTCTTGTACTCATCCTTTATCTTGTTATATGTATCATTACTCTCATCCGCTTTACCAGCATCCTCTAGTGCCCACCTGCCCACCCACTGCACTTACCCACCTGCCCACCCATATACTTTTACCTTCTCACCCTCTGCCTTCAGCCACCTGTCCACCTTCTGCCTTCAGCCACCTGCCCACTATCTGCCTTCAACCACCTGCCCACCCTCTGCCTTCAACCACCTGCCCATTCTTTACCTTCAATCACCTGCCCACTCTCTGCCTTCAACCACCTGGCCACCCTCTGCCTTCAACCACCTGCCCACTCTCTGCCTCCAACCACCTGCCCACCCTCTGCCTTCAGCCACCAGCCCACCCTCTGCCTTCAACCACCTGCCCACCCTCTGCCTTCAGCCACCTGTCAACCTATCTGGCTTAGTGTCATGAGTTGCCAACCACCATCCTGGGTTGCCCACTATTTACTCGTACCCCGCCCACATGCAATATCCACAAAGCACCACATACTATCTACAACACACACCACTCACCTGGATTATATCCCACATACCTAGAGTACACACCATCTACCTGGATTATCTCCTATATGGAGTACACACACCGGAAATGTCTCCTTAATATGTGGAGTACACACTACTCACCTGGGGTTCTCCCATATGAGTACACACCACCCACAATCCACCTGGAATAATTGCTACAACCCAGATATCACCTAGGGGTGCCTAGGTTCCCCCTAGTGCCACCTGAGGTAACTACATCTGCCTTAGTGCCACCTATGGCACAGGTCGCTCCTGTTGTGGACAAACACTGTTACTTCATTGTATTTTTTAATAATAGGTTTAAGCCTGACGTGATGTATAGGGAATCCCAAACGTCTTTCAACCCCCGAGTACTATTATCTAGTAACTGAAGGGCTTATCAAAACTTGTAAACTCCTGAGTACTAGTAACTAGTATCTAGTAAGTGGTATCAAGTAACGAAAGGGTCCAACTAAACTTGTAAAATATACTAAAGTTTTAATGGTAGTTTATCTGATGTTGAGGAGGTTGTCCAACGAGTTATTAATTTTGTACAACCGATAAAATGTGCTTTTAAAATCTTTAAAATTTTACACCGGGGTTGACAGAACCTTTGTGACACCCAAGAGTGCATGTAATACCCTTAGTGCATCTTATCCAGAGTGCGTATAGTGACTACCAGTGCTTCTAATGTGATGTAGATTGTAGATATTGTCTCTTAGTCGCTTTATTGCGATACTGAGTACCTACCATGTTTCCAAGTGCATCATACGTGATGAGAGTAAACATAATGATTCCTAAACAACGCCTAGTTCTTCCTACGTGATGTCAAGTACATACAATGACTCCTTCATCAGTCCTAGTGGTTCATACGTAAAGTATGAACCACTAGTAATGTCCTCAAGTGTTTCGTCATATGTTTAGTAAAAGGAAACCAGTGCAACTAATGTGGCATTTTATTATGGCAAAGTTTCGCTCTCTGGAGAGCGAAACGTCGCCACAATAAAATATCACATTACTTGCACTTGTGTCCTTGCAGTAAACATATTGTGGGTAATTCTACCAATATTAATGGTTCATCATAGTACTTGCCTTGCATCGTATTATTCCTTGTTATAATACAACTATATAGAATACATTTGCATGTAATATTTTCTGCAAGCTTTTAATAGCCAGGAAGCTGTCAGCTTGAGCTGTAACATTGTGTCCAGCGAACGTGTCAGCTTCAAGGCGCCCTCCTGTTATATACTAATGGGAAAGCGTTAGATCCGTAAGGGAAATGGGAGGATTGCGACGGTAATGAGGTCTGAAACAAGGAAGGGGAGGGTATCTCCAGTTCCTTAGATCAAGAGCCCTTCACCATCGTCAAGACACCATGATGACATTGTATTTAACGTATTACTTCAATAAAATGTTGTAAGACAAACTTTTTTATTATTCCGCCAATAAAGTTATGCTTTATTTCCAGCATATTTTATACCAGCTTATTATGTAATTTATTGCTGCTTAATAGCAGTTGTATTGCTGCTTCCCAGCAGTTGTATTGCTGCTTCCCAGCAGTTGTATTGCTGCTTACCAGCAGTTGTATTGCTGCTTACCAGCAGTTGTATTGCTGCTTACCAGCAGTTGTATTGCTGCTTCCCAGCAGTTGTATTGCTGCTTACCAGCAGTTGTATTGCTGCTTACCAGCAGTTGTATTGCTGCTTACCAGCAGTTGTATTGCTGCTTCCCAGCAGTTGTATTGCTGCTTACCAGCAGTTGTATTGCTGCTTACCAGCAGTTGTATTGCTGCTTACCAGCAGTTGTATTGCTGCTTACCAGCAGTTGTATTGCTGCTTCCTAGCAGTTGTATTGCTGCTTCCTAGCATTTTGTATTGCTGCTTCCCAGCAGTTTTTGCTGCTTCCCAGCAGTTGTATTTGTTTTATTCCAGCAGTTGTATTGCTGCTTCCAGCGGGTTGTTTTGGGCTGCTTCCCAGCAGTTGTATTGCTGCTTCCCAGCAGTTGTATTGCTGCTTCCCAGCAGTTGTATTGCTGCTTCCCAGCAGTTGTATTGCTGCTTCCCAGCTGTATTGCTGCTTCCAGCATTGTATTGCTGCTTCCCAGCAGTTGTATTGCTGTTTTCCCAGCAGTTTATTGCTGCTTCCCAGTAGTTGTATTGCTGCTTCCCAGTATTTTTATTGCTGCTTCCCAGCGGGTTGTATTGCTGCTTCCCAGCAGTTGTATTGCTGCTTCCCAGCAGTTGTATTGCTGCTTCCCAGCAGTTGTATTGCTGCTTCCCAGTAGTTGTATTGCTGCTTCCCAGCAGTTGTATTGCTGCTTCCCAGCAGTTGTATTGCTGCTTCACAGCAGTTGTATTGCTGCTTCCCAGAAATTTTTGTATTTTTAGCTTCCCAGCAGTTGTATTGCTGCTTCCCAGCAGTTGTATTGCTGCTTCCCAGCAGTTGTATTGCTGCTTCCCAGCAGTTGTATTGCTGCTTCCCAGCAGTTGTATTGCTGCTTCCCAGCAGTTGTATTGCTGCTTCCCAGTAGTTGTATTGCTGCTTCCCAGCAGTTGTATTGCTGCTTCCTAGCAGTTGTATTGCTGCTTCCCAGCGGGGGTTGAAATTGCTGCTTCCCAGCAGTTGTATTGCTGCTTCCCCCAGCAGTTGTATTGCTGCTTCCCAGCAGTTGTATTGCTGCTTCCCAGCAGTTGTATTGCTGCTTCCCAGTAGTTGTATTGCTGCTTCCCAGCAGTTGTATTGCTGCTTCCTAGTAGTTGTATTGCTGCTTCCCAGCAGTTGTATTGCTGCTTCCAGCAGTTGTATTGTGCTTCCCGCAGTTGTATTGCTGCTTCCATCAGTTGTATTGCTGCTTCCCAGCAGTTGTATTGCTGCTTCCCAGCAGTTGTATTGCTGCTTCCTAGCAGTTGTATTGCTGCTTCCTAGCAGTTGTATTGCTGCTTCCCAGCAGTTGTATTGCTGCTTCCTAGCAGTTGTATTGCTGCTTCCCAGCAGTTGTATTGCTGCTTCCTAGCAGTTGTATTGCTGCTTCCCAGCAGTTGTATTGCTGCTTCCCAGCAGTTGTATTGCTGCTTCCCAGCAGTTGTATTGCTGCTTCCCAGCAGTTGTATTGCTGCTTCCTAGCAGTTGTATTGCTGCTTCCCAGCAGTTGTATTGCTGCTTCCTAGCAGTTGTATTGCTGCTTCCCAGCAGTTGTATTGCTGCTTCCCAGCAGTTGTATTGCTGCTTCCCAGCAGTTGTATTGCTGCTTCCCAGCAGTTGTATTGCTGCTTCTCAGCAGTTGTATTGCTGCTTCTCAGCAGTTGTATTGTGCTTCCTAGCAGTTGTTTTTGCTGCTTCCCAGGAGTTGTATTGGGCTGCTTCCAGCAGTTGTATTGCTGCTTCCCAGCAGTTGTATTGCTGCTTCCCAGCAGTTGTATTGCTGCTTCCCAGCAGTTGTATTGCTGCTTCCCAGCAGTTGTATTGCTGCTTCCTAGCAGTTGTATTGCTGCTTCCCAGCGTTGTTTTGCTGCTTCCAGCAGTTGTATTGCTGCTTCCCAGCAGTTGTATTGCTGCTTCCCTAGCAGTGTATTGCTGTTTCCCCAGCAGTTGTTTTGCTGCTTCCCAGCAGTTGTATTGCTGCTTCCCAGCATTTTGTTTTTGCTGCTTCCCAGCAGTTGTATTGCTGCTTCCCAGCAGTTGTATTGCTGCTTCCCAGCAGTTGTATTGCTGCTTCCCAGCAGTTGTATTGCTGCTTCCCAGCAGTTGTATTGCTGCTTCCAGCAGTTGTATTGCTGCTTCTAGCAGTTGAAATTCTGTTTCCCTAGAAATTGTATTGCTGCTTCCTAGCAGTTGTATTGCTGGTTCCCAGCAGTTGTATTGCTGCTTCCCAGCAGTTGTATTGCTGCTTCCCAGCAGTTGCTTTTTGCTGCTTCCCTAGCAGTTTGTATTCCCTGACTTCCTTAGCAGTTGTATTCTTGCTTCCTAGCAGTTGCATTCCTGCTTCACAGCAGTTGTATTCCTGCTTCCCAGCAGTTGCATTCCTGCTTCCTAACAGTTGTATTCCTGCTTCCCAGCAGTTGTATTCCTGCTTCCCAGCAGTTGTATTCCTGCTTCTTAGCAGTTGTATTCCTGCTTCCTAGCAGTTGTATTCCTGCTTCCTAGCAGTTGTATTCCTGCTTCCCAGCAGTTGTATTCCTGCTTCCTGGCAGTTGTATTCCTGCTTCCCAGCAGTTGTATTCCTGTTCCTAGCAGTTGTATTCCTGCTTCTTAGCAGTTGTATTCCTGCTTCCTAGCAGTTGTATTCCGCTTCCCAGCAGTTGTATTCCTGCTTCCTAGCAGTTGTATTCCTGTTTCCTAGCAGTTGTATTCCTGCTTCCTAGCAGTTGTATTCCTGCTACCTAGCAGTTGTATTCCTGCTTCTTAGCAGTTGTATTCCTGCTTCCCAGTTGTATTCCTGCTTCCTAGCAGTTGTATTCCTGCTTCCTAGCAGTTGTATTCCTGCTTCCCAGCAGTTGTATTCCTGCTTCCCAGCAGTTGTATTCCTGCTTCCCAGCAGTTGTATTCCTGCTTCACAACAGTTGTATTCCGCTTCCCTAGCAGTTGTATTCCTGCTTCCAGCAGTTGTATTCCTGCTTCCCAGCAGTTGAAATTCTGTTTCCTGCAGTTGTATTCCTGCTTCCTAGCAGTTGTATTCCTGCTCCCCAGCAGTTGTATTCCTGCTTCCCAGCAGTTGTATTCCTGCTTCCTAGCAGTTGTATTCCTGCTTCCTAACAGTTGTATTCCAGCTTCCTACAGTTGTATTCCTGCTTCCCAGCAGTTGTATTCCTGCTTCCCAGCAGTTTGTTTTCCCTGTTTCCCAGCAGTTGTATTCCTGCTTCCTAGCAGTTGCATTCCTGCTTCCTAGCAGTTGTATTCCTAATTCCCAGCAGTTGTATTCCTGCTTCCTAGCAGTTGGGTTTCCTGCTTCCCAGCATTTGTATTCCGCTTTCCTATCAGTTGTATTCCTGCTTCCCAGCAGTTGATTCCTGCTTCCAGCAGTTGTATTCCTGCTTCCTGCCGTTGTATTCCTTTTTCCCAGCAGTTGTATTCTGCTTCCAGCAGTTGTTTTCCTGCTTCCAGCAGCTGTATTCCTGCTTCCAAGCATTTTGTTTTCAATTCCCACAGTTGTATCCTGCTTCCTAGCAGTTGTATCCTGTTCCCACAGTTGTATTCTGTTTCCCACATTTTAAAATTCGGGCTTCCCAGCAGTTGTATTCCTGCTTCCCAGCGTTGTATTCCTGCTTCCGCAGTTGTATTTGCTTCCTAGAGTTGTATTCTGCTTCCGAAAGTTGTATTCCTGTTTCCAGCAGCTGTTTTCCCGGCTTTCCTACAGTGTATTCCTCTTCACAGCAGTTGATTCCGCTTCCAGCAGGTTGTATTCCGTTCCAGCATTTTGAAATTCCTGTTTTCTACAGTTGTATCCTGCTTCCAGCAGTTGTATTCGCTTCCCAGCAGTTGTATTCGCTTCCCAGCGTTTGTATTCCTTTTTCCCCAGAGTTGTATTCTGCTTCCTAGCAGTTGTCTTCCTGCTTCCCAGCACTGTATTCTGCTTCGCAGCAGTTGTATTCCTGCTTCCCAGCAGTTGTATTCCTGCTTCCCAGCAGTTGTATTCCTGCTTCCTGCAGTTGTTATTCCTGTTTCCCCCAGCAGTTGTATTTCTGCTTCCTAGCAGTTGTATTCCCTGCTTCCCAGCAGTTGTATTCCTGCTTCCCAGCATTTTTGTATTCCTGCTTCCTAGCAGTTGTATTCCTGCTCCTAGCGTTGTATTCCTGCTTCCCAGCAGCTGTATTCCTGCTTCCCAGCAGTTGTATTCCTGCTTCCCAGCAGTTGTTTTCCTTTACTTCCCAGCAGTTGTATTCCTGCTTCCTATCAGTTGTATTCTGCTTCCCAGCAGTTGTATTCCTGCTTCCCAGCAGTTGTATTCCTTTTTTCCCCAGCCGTTGTATTCCTGTTTCCCAGCAGTTTATTCCTGCTTCCTAGCATTGTCTTCCTGTTTCCCCCAGCAGCTGATTCCTGCTTCCCAGCAGTTGTATTCCTGCTTCCCAGCAGTTGTATTCCTGCTTCCCAGCAGTTGTATTCCTGCTTCCTAGCAGTTGTATTCCTGCTTCCCAGCAGTTGTATTTCTGCTTCCTAGCAGTTGTATTCCTGCTTCCCAGCAGTTGTATTCCTGCTTCCCAGCAGTTGTATTCCTGCTTCCTAGCAGTTGTATTCCTGCTTCCTAGCAGTTGTATTCCTGCTTCCCAGCAGCTGTATTCCTGCTTCCCAGCAGTTGTATTCCTGCTTCCCAGCAGTTGTATTCCTGCTTCCCAGCAATTGTATTCCTGCTTCCTAGCAGTTGCATTCCTGCTTCCCAGTTGTATTCCTAATTCCCAGCAGTTGTATTCCTGCTTCCTAGCAGTTGTATTC